TAACCTTTATATACATTTTTATCATGGTGATATTTGTTGTGCCATTTCAAAATTTCCAAAACTTTTTGTCCAAAAAACCAAAATTAGTTTATCTTCTCCAGATAATTGTCACTTACAAATTATTCAATTTGATTTTGTAACAACAAAACAAAAACTGAACCAGTTTAAACTAGTTTTTCAATACAATAATAATAACACCAACAATAACAACTATCATAACAACAAAAAATATCAATTATATTCTACTATCCATATCAATAAAAAGTATATCTCTAAGTTTAGTACTGGTGCAAGAGCTGGACTATTGGTTTTCTTTTAGATATTCTTTTTATTTATATAGATTTTATAGTTTAATTGATATAGTTTTAATACAAGTAATCCACGTAATTGTAGCTCCAGTTAAATTTTTTTTTCTCTTTACTTTTCATTTTATTCTTACATCTTATCAAATTTTCTAAGTAAGTAAACATAGCTGTTACTCTTAGCTATATTTAGCATATAGTATTATTTAAAAAATTTATTTTTAATATTAGCTAGGTATAGATAGTGTAAGTAAACTAGTATTAAACTTGCTGCTATTGCATATAAAAGATATTGTTTCTTTTATAATATATACTTTTTAAATATACAAACAAATAAAGAAATGATGTTTATCTACCAGAAAAAAAAAAGGACTTGAATTTTAAGAAGAAGATTCAAGTAGCAAAGATAAAGAAATAACTGATTCAGTAATTATTAATTTAGAGAAATCTTCAAAAGCTTATAAAAATACTAAAAATAATTTAAAATCTTTACTAAAAAATAAAGAATTAAAAAGAATAATTTCAACAATGAATGAAGATTTAAATAAATAAAAAAAAAATAGACTTATGTAATAATAAAAAAATATAATAAAAAATTATATAATTAAAATAATTTTATAAGTTAATTAAATGTTTAAATTAAATATTATTTAGTTATAATATATAAATGTAAATATAGGCATGTAATGCACTTTGCCTTTAAAATATATATATATATATATATATGTAAATATATTTTATTACTATTAAAATATATTAAAGATTTTTGAAAATTAATATATCAACTTTCACTTTAAAATCTTTTAATAATAATAAAAATTCAGTAGCAAAAATCATCAAATCTTTAAGAAAACACTTAACAAGTTAAAAGAAATACAAAACAAGTGAACTCAAGAAAAAAATAACTATATAGCAAAAGATGTATTGACTAAAAACCTCCTTATCCTAATCAAAGAATATATAACAATTGAAAACTACAAAAAAATAATCAAAAGCATTATAGACAGATTACTAATTACTCTTCAAACTAAATGGCAGCAAGGATGTAAGCTCTTTGCACAATAGGAAACTAATCAAAACATAACAAAAAATGATAAAAAAATATGAACAACCTATAACAAAAAAATCACTATACACAAATTATACATTTCAGGAATAAATATAATTATAAAGTATTTAAGTCTTTACTAGATTTACTGAAATACAATATTCTATTTCAAAACTAACTTTTTATAGAACAGATAAAGTCTTAACAAATTAGTCAAGTATATACCTGTACTTGACAATAAGTCACACAGTAAGATTTACTTTAGTGAATTTAATTAGATAGTTAGAGAGATAAATTTGTATAAAATAAATTTATACATACTTGTAAAATAATATCTAATAAACAAGGCATAAACCACTTGTTAAAAAATAATAATTATTATTATAAAGTATTATTTCTAAATTCGATTAAATATTAGATAATAATATTTTTTAAAGCTTTTTTATTCGATTTTTCATGTTTTATAATTTATATGGTTATCTTTTTTTTTTAATTTTTTACTAGATAAAAAGTTAAAATTTTGAATTTCCAATTCATCAAACTTCAATGTTTTTGTGATCTTTGTTTTTTTTTATAAATTCTTTGCTACTGGAGCCTTGCTGAATATTAAAATTATATAAGACTTACTATAAATATTTATACAAAATTGATTATTATTTGAATCAAGAATACCTTGAACTTTTTGAATATTTGACATATCTAAAAATAGCATTGGATTAAGATAGATGATACAAAGTTTCTTCTAAAAAAATGAGACGTAAATTGACATTAATTGATGCTCAAAATATTGCTTTAGAAAAGGTAGACAAAGTCTTTCTGAATGTATAAATAATAAAAGTTCTTTACGTTGGAAATGTGCTAAATTTAATGAATAGAATGCTGGTTTATGTGATATAAAAAGAGGTACCTGGTGTCCACGATGTGTAAAATGTTTTAAGCTTAATATTGATATTGCTGTGGTATTTGTCTTTCTGAAAAATATATAAATACTTATACATCACTTTTCTGGAAAAGTGCAAAAAAACATGAATGGCGAGCTCCTTTAGAAGAATAAGAAATCATAATTCTTGGTGTCCTAAATGTGTAATAGATATTCGAAGAGTTGGTTTAGATTTAGCTAAAAATATAGCTCGATCTAGGAATGGTGAATGTTTATCGGATAAGTATATTGATATTCATACTCCATTACAATGGAGATGTCATCAAGGACATATTTGGCATGCAGTTTTAAATACAATAAAAAATCAAAATTCATGGTGTTCTCAATGTGCAGGATGTTCTAAACTTAATATTAATATTGCTAAAGAAATTGCGCTTAAAAAAGGTGGAAGATGTTTATCGGAAAAATATGTTAATATAGACTCTTCGCTTTTATGGGAATGCAACGAGGGCCATCAATGGTATACAAATCTTAAATGTGTAAGGAATTTAGATAAATGGTATCCTCACTGTTCGGGTAATGCAAAACTTTCTATTGAGAAAGCTAGAAAAATTGCAACTAAAAATAAAGGATTATGTCTTTCTGAGACGTATAATGGTGCGCATACAAAATTAATGAATGGTATGCAACCTTAGATAAAGTAAAAAATTTAGGTACATGGTGTCCACTTTGTCCTTGGAAAAGACAAGAACTCTGCAAAGAAATAGCAACGAAATTAATAGGCTCACCATCTGAGATTCGTAGGCCAGATTTCTTAAAAACATCTGATCATCCGTTAGGACTTGAACTTGATATATACTATCCACAATACGGTTTTGCTATCGAAGTTCAAGGTATACAACATGAATGTTTCCATGCTTTCTTCCACAAAAACAAAAAGGATTTCGAAAAGCAGTTTGCACGGGATCAGCTAAAAAAAGAACTTTATAATAAAAATCGGACATTACTTATCGAAGTATGCGAAGACCCTTATTTAGTGATCCCTCAACGACTTAAAGAACTTGGTCTTATTTCTTAACTGATATTGTTTTGATTATATATTTTCCTAACTTGGACAACTTGTGATTGTGGTCATATGAAGAATAAGATTATTTTGTGTAACATAACCCTTAATGATGAAAAATACAATAACATGATACTGTAACTTTTCAAAATGATTAATCGAATTATGTCCATAGATAACAATTTTCAGAGCGTAAAAAATTCACTAAGAGAGAGAAGGTAAGTGAACGTCACACAGAAGTATTAAGTTCCGTCCACTACTGACACGTATGATAGTTTGCCAATACAGATAGGCTGGAATTTGTCTGTGAAAAAAATTGATGATTTCTTTGAACGTCATGATACATGTGGATATAAATTTGACATCGATTCAAAGGGAAACGTATTTATAGTCGAGGTGAAAAAAGACGAACATGCATCTTCCCAACGGAGGTATCATTATTAATCCTCCGATAGATGTTCTGGGTTTTTCAGGTAAGAAAAATTCTTTTGGGTCGCTTAGTCTTGTTATCAATTTTATAACGTTCTCATGTCCTATAATAGCTCACTATAAACCACGTGGAAGAGGAAAACCATCGGCACCCGATATTGCTATATATCCAAGTTTGAACATTATTCCGAAGCCTCCAATTCCAGCTCCAGCTCCACAACGTAGACTAAGATATCTTCGTAGAACTGCTCCAATGACTTCCCGGCATAATGAGATTCCTCCGGTTAACAAATCGGTTAGTTCTATATATATCAGATTTTGTTTATATTTTTCCCTAGTCTTATCATAAATTAATTATTTAGGGAAGATCTCACGCACAAATAATGTGCGAAATTGCAGTATCCCAAAGGTATGAAAGTTGGAATGCAAAGTGTAGCCGTTGGATGCAACAGCAATACGTAAGATGCGTATTTGGAGTTAAGATTTACAATAAAGAAGTTACACGAAATACAAATAGACAGTTTGATCGGTGTGTGATTGTGCGTGTTACACGGCCTATTTATTTTGGTTTGAATTTTTAATAAAAATAAGTATCTCGAAATTTTTAAATTTTTTTCTGTTAGGCCAGACTCTGGACACGTCAGGCAACACCAACGCCAGGAAGACACATAGCAGTACCAGGACAGCGAGGGGTGTATTATGAAGAGGTAAGATGGCACGTCGTGAATGTTCTTGCAATCAATTTAAATGGCAAATATCTAATATATAAACTTACCAAATTTTCGTAGTGGAATTTTGGTATTCTCGATTACTACAATAGTACTCCTACTGCTTGTACAGGACCAGGCCTTCCTGCCTATCAAGTTAATATCCCAACTCAAGAAGTATTTTGGAACCCTCCTGTCAATAATAGTGGAGTTCCTAATTGGCGCAAATTTTGTTATAGACTTATATCAAATCCAACAATTGGTTTTGCAAAACCAGAACAACTAAAACATATACAGTATTACGATATATTATTGATCAATAATGGTTAAGGGAAATTTTTGCATTATATAGTATTTTTTTGTAAAATATCTTATTATTGGTACACAATAACTGCATAATAAAAAATTTGCATTATGCATAATGATCACATAATATAATAAAAAACCAAATACTATGCTACCACCTCAATATATTCTCAAGCATTAGATTTACCTTCTTTCTTTTCTACTTGAAATAATATTTGTTCGAAAGCATTGCTTAAGTAGTCATCTATTTCAGCTTTATTATAAATTATGATTTGTGTATTTCAGTTCGTGAATTCTTTTTTCCCTGTTTTTTATTTCCAGGTTTATCATCTATAAAAAATTTGGTAAGCAAACATAAAGCAAACTTGAATTGCCCACGTTTGTCAAATTCTTTTTCAAGTATTTCCCTAAATTGTTTTCTTTGGCTTAACATTTTTCGTACATCGCTTCCATTGTCTGGATGGAATTTAGAAACTTTTGCACGATTTATGGCTATGGCTCTTCTTTTAAGCGCTGTTTCCAATTCTTCTTGTTCCCTAAATTCTAAATCCTTCTCTGACTTTTCGTGCCCTTAATTTCTCCTAAGCGCTCAAATTCTTTATTGATCAAATTCTTAGATTTATTTGTTTGCAAAGCAAACGCTTATGTTCTAGGTCCTGGACCGGCCTCTGGACTATCTTCTAATTCCTCTTTTGTCAGTGGTCTAACTGCTTCTAGATCATACTGCTCAAGATTATGAAAGAGTGTTTTACAATCATCCAGATCATTTGCCTCAATTGGCTCAACACCTAGATCTAATTCTTTCCAATGTTTTTGCAATCTTGCTCCCCATGTCTTAATTTGCTCTCTGGGTTTATGTGCATTTGGACTGATCCGGTTTTTTGCCTCCTCTTCTGTGATGTAGTCAACACCAAGTTCTAGCTCAGGAACTAGAATTGGGATTGTCACATGTGGCTTCCTCTTGTTGCTTATATTTATTTACATTAGAGCTTTCTACCTGTACTTTAATTTCGAAAGTTTGGATAGCCTGTTGGCTAGCTTTTTGAACAGGCACCTGAATTGGTGCTTGAATAAAAGCTACTTCCTTCTACTTTTGTAATGGTTTGTGTGGATTTTTTTGCTTAAAATGCTTACGAAGTTTTTGGAATATTGAGCATTCATAACCACAATGTTTACAGATTGTATCTTTTTTATTACTTTTTGTTTTTTTAACCATGGTGTTAGCTCTAAATGTTGTGCTATTACTTACTTATAAAATTTTTTCTTTAATTAATTATCTCCTATTCTTTTCAGTTTCCGGTTATAGAGCCATCACCAAAAGTGATATTTACAAGCTTTCCAAAACGGTTTTAGGCTATTATGAAACTTAAGTATTAACTATTTATTAATCTTTCGAATTTTAGTATCAAAAAATAGAATAATTGGTAAATATTCATGTCTGTATTTTTGCAATACTGAAAAGGCTTGCAATAACCTTTGCATTTTCTCAGAAAGTAATTGGAAAGCTAAAAAACGGATTCCATGTTCTGATTGCAGGAAGTCTACAGCTTCTGCTTGTGGTCAATGCCCGTTACATGTTAGAGGCTATTATGTTATTCAGCATTATGACAGGCTTTGATCAAAGATACAAGAAAGTAATGGATAGATCATTTCGGCTAATACTTTATCTTAATTTTAGCCAGAATTTTGAGCATGATATTCAATAGGTATTTCTAAATTTTTATTAGACTTATTTATGAAGGAAATAAGGACCGTTGGACTTAATTTCGTTAAACTTATTTATGGGAGAAATAAGGATCTTTAGACTTAATTTCGTTAAATATTTTATGGATTTTCGTTAGACTTAATTTCATGCGACTTATTTACTTATTTGATAAATATATTAATTAATATATTAATCCTTGTAGAATCAATTCTTGATATATTTATTTTCGTTAGGCTTATTTTTTATTAGATTTATTTACAATATAGAAATTACAATTATAGAAGTCTTAGAAGCTTTTCTAATATATAATAAAAAATCAATATATAAATTAACCTTCTAAGCTGACTAGAAGCTCCTCTAATATAATATGAAAATTAAGATTCTAAAGTTTTTAAAACTTATTCTCATAAAATAAAAAAATTGCTATCAGATTTGAATTTTTTAACATGTCAACACATTAATTTCAATGTGGCCTAAAACAAGAATTTCACCTCATAGTTAGATTGAAAATGTGATCTAAAACAAAAATCATGCTCTTACAATTAGATTTAAATATAATCAAAAAATTGATATCAGATTTGGACTACTTAACATGTCAATACATTAATTTCAATGTGGCCTAAAACAAGAATTCCACCCCATAGTTAGATTGAAAATGTGATCTAAAATAAAAATCATGCTTTTACAATTAGATTTAAATATAATCAAAAAATTGATATTAGATTTGGACTTCTTAACAAGCCAGCATACTAATTCCAATATGGTTGTTTTGTCTCAAAAACCTTCAAATTTATATTGTGTAATAATATGATTATAGAAATCTATAAAACTCTTTACAAAACATATTTTAAAAATCTATATCATATGTCTAATAAAAAAGATTATAATAGACATATATTAAAAATTATATAATTATAAATTCATTTTTTTTAATTTTTTAATAATTAATTGTTTTAGATTAAATAAAAAAATTTGATAGAAAGTAAAGCTTCTAAAAAATATCAACAAATTATAGGATTTTATAAATTTTTATGAATATTAAAATTAGAAATTATTTTATATAAAAAAATAAAGATAATTTGAATTTGTTATAAATTAAAGAATTTAATATTTTAGTAACAAGTCTTGATAAATTTTTTTGAAGAAAAATTAATTGATTTTAATAATAATAATTATTGATTAAAAGTATTTTCTTCAACAATATTAAAAAGTAACAATATTATTTATTTCTTATTGAATTTTATAAAATTATATCTTTTATTAATATTCTTATAAGTAAAAAAATAAAGACGAAAAAATTAATTAATATGGTTTAATAAGAATCAAATTTAAATTATATTAATATAAATAATATATTAATTTAATATTTTATTTAAATATTATTAATATTCAAATTTTATAAATTCAAAAGTAGTGAATCATTTAAACATATTCATATTTATTGATATAAAAAAGATAATGAATTATGGAAATATCAAAAATTAGAGTTACTTGAATAGTATAGTTATATACTAAAATATAATATAGATAAATATATATATATAGTTTTAAAATTTGATAAAACAAATAAATATTTGGTAAATAATTATAATTTTTAATTTTAACTTATAAAATCAAATAATTACTTAATATTAAAATTAAATATATGTTTTATGGTTTTAACCTAATTTATTTGTTATAACAAAATTTGACTATATATATATATAATTTTCAATAAACAACAAAAGATTCAAATATAATTCAAAAACTCTCTCCTGATCGCGTCCGTTTTTGTTAAAAATTTTCCTTTTATGGTAATTTTAAGCAAGAAAAAATGTTTTACACTCTTTATCGCAAGTGAGCCAACTCAGGAACTTAAGAACCTTCAAGACAACTGGTGCAGTGGGATGGGATCTCTGGTCGAAGTCTATTCAAGTTTGGGAGTCTTGCTTAT